ACAGATAGATATAGATATAGATATAGATATAGATATAGATATAGATATAGATATAGATATAGATATAGATGATGCCAGTCTATTAGTTATTGCTTTAGGAAAGACTGATGAAAAGGCAGGCTTACACTTAGGCAATTAATCTTTCAAAAAGAATATGACAAAACATATATTCAGTAGAAAGTAGCTAAATCTCAATTACATTCTTAACCAAAGAGATGAGGCAAATCTGGGGATAGTAATTTTGATTTTGTGAAAAGTATTTTCCTCATCCAACAGTCTTATAGGCTTATCTAATTGGTCACACTTTTATTATATATATTTTGCTTTGAGATAATGTGAACAATCTAAATCTTTAAACGAGCATAGTCAAAATGAGTCTAATAAAATCTGCAGTGATGCCTTTTATTTTCATGAATACTGGGTGGCATGATTTTCCTCAGTTCTGCACTTTAGTTTAGCAAAATAGGCAAAGTTTAAAAAAAAATCTTATTATAGAAAGTTGTCACAAGAGGAGCCTTCGTATTTTGCAAATAGTAGTCCTAGGAAAGCTATAACTTAATTTGGCAGTGGCTTAGGGGTTATGCAAAATGTTGAGACATTTCTTTCTTCTGTTAAAGTATCAGTGGATCCTTAGTTTATTGTGAAAGAATAGAAGTTCTGTTGTCTTCAGATTTCCCCACCCTACACTGCTGTGGCCTGCTGTGTGCTCCTTACCCATTGCGCCATCTCATGGATGCTGCCCCCAGTGCTGTGTGTGGGTGTATGCGGGATGTGAATGGATTTTGGTTAGAAGTTATGATCCCTATCTATCGTACTTGCTCCTGGAGGGTTATAAATTCAACGACTATTTCTGAACATCTGATTTGTTGAGTGAGTTGGATGAAATGGGATTGCCTTAATGCATGCCATATAGCTTTTCCACATTAAGCGTCATAATGCAATGGTTTTCTGAAGGAAAACACATTCTAACACTTCTCTGGTAATTCTTCCTACCTATTATCATTTACTAATCATTATATGTATATGCAAATAAGATAGGGATGAATTATTAGCTCTGATTTAGAAGATGATAGTTTTCATTTTAGGCTTTTATAGGCACGATGATTAGTTATCGTTTTTCATAAAGATGTATCATGCACTGCCTTTAGTAAGTATAATTGTTTGTATATTTATATGCTGTATGAGTGTAACCAACTGTTAAGGTTAACAAATGTGCAACTTTTCTACTCTGCACATCGTGTCAGCTTTATGTTCTTATGACAAATATACATATACAGCAGGTAGGTTGAAAGGATGAAAGGTACTGGTTAAAAACAATATACATCTGTATACACAGAATTATTTAATTTTTCCATTCTATTTCAGTTTGTGCATATTCTAATGCTAAAATATCCTTTAAACAGATTAAAATATTTGATAAATTTTCTGATAAGTACCAGAGATTAACTTTCCTTAAACTCAAAAAAGTTCTATTTGAGTGGCTTATATTACTGGATGAAATTTTATTCTCATGTAAAAAAACTGTAAGGTTATATTTCCTACAAACAACTATCTAGAGTTTATGTTAACCAACGATCCTCCATAAAACCATTATATCCTTTGAACTATTTGTTCTGAGTAATAATATTCAATAAAGTAACATAAATCAAATACATCATAGTGACATCTCAACATTTTAAAAAATTGGGCTGTTTTACATCTGCCATTAGTAATTTAGTATCGTATCCCTCCATAATTATAAGTTGACAACGCAAGATCCTAAAATATTATGATAGAATTATAGATTTTTTTGAATTCTATTGATTTCTTATTTGTTCTTTAAAATACACAAAGATACAGTTGTGTCCTCACCTAGAGTTGTGGGCTGAGATTTAGAAACAGAAATTATGTCAAATTGGAACAGCACAGAAGTCACAGTAGAATACTTTCCTGAAAACTATTTAAAATGTAAATTTGTGTTACAGAAACTCAAAACATGTTATGTTGCTAAGCATTCTGGCTGACTGAGTTAGCAGCATTCTGCGTCTTTGAAATTTCTGTTTCTAAAATGTCACTGTGCATTGTCATCACCAGAGTTTGTTGGAAGCAAAAATTCCTGTGACAACCTAAATACTAACAAGTAAAAATTAAATGAGGCTCAGAAGCTTGATTCAGAACAGAAATTAGATGTGGATTTTTAAGAAACACTTCCGGGCTGGAGAGATGGCTCAGTGGTCTAAAGCACCTACTTGGAACAAGCTTGGCAAAGTACAGGGACCACAGTTCGATCCCCCAGCACCACATGCCAGCCAGCTGCGCCCCCTGGTGGGCTGAGCTGGCCACACACACACACACACACACACACACACACACACACACAATAAATAAATGTTTAAAAAAATTAAAAAAAAAAAAAAAAAAAAAAAGAAACACTTCCATGGCTAGATTCTCCTTATTGGGTACATTTAGAGTGCTGTTATTTTACATCTGTTGCAGGCTTTCATGCTGGACTAACATTACATGAAAGTGATTAAATTTAAATTGTTCAAATAGTCTGCATTCTGTTAAAAGCAATAACTAAATGCTAACTATCCTCAATCAGTACAGCAGTCTAGATTTGGTTATAACCAAAAGCTATAAGTTGTTTGATAAGATGACTTTTTTATGAGACAGAAATATGCTTTAAATTCATAAATCACTTACTTGGTTTTATAGAAGGAGAAAAGGCAGAAAAAAAAAAACAGAAGATACAGCGTCTTCTGTAAGTAAGACTTTTGTCCAGGACCACTCAGAACCTGACAGAAATTTCCAAAAAACTTGACAGAGGATCACAAACAGCAGTAGGCCCTTAAACTAAAACATGGATGTGGTCTCATCGACCCAGAACAACTATACCAGATAACACAAAGATAAATTTGTGGCATGGAAAAGACAGTTGTATCGTAGCATTGCATCCTAGCTCTACACATCTACCATCAGAAACCAGAAACTTCGAAGGCCTTCCTCCTCACCGTCACCCTCACACATCCTACACACTGACGCAGGGGAGCAGCCAGCCTCCCGTGACCTTGTGGTGTCATCTCTAACTCATAAATACTTTTGCTGTCTACCCAATTGCTACATAAGCTGCCACTCCCTGGTTGGATGGAACATGGTGTGTCTTTCTAAAGTTTTGCTCTTTGGCCCATTTTATGCCCTGGCCATGATACTAATCTCTTTTAAAGGGCCCAAACTGATATGAAAATACCCCTTCTTGTGAGGCCTTAATAGTACTTGGATCTGTGGTCTTTGTTAAATGTAGCCAAAGCTCAAAATAGGTGCCAATTTCTGCCAAAATCTGCTAAATCCTCCAGAAGCCATAAGTAAGGATCCCAAGTATTTTGTCTGCAGGCAGTATCTTGGCACTTGTTTTCAAGAGATTCAACCCAGCCAGATGTGAGGATGCACACACCTGCAATCCCAGCACTCAGGAGGCTGAGGCAGGAGGATCATCATGAGTTCAAGACCAGCCTGAACTACGCAGCAAGTCCCTATTTCAAAAAAAAGAAAAGAAAACAAAGAAAAGATTCAACTGAAAAGCAAGTTTCAAACATGATTTTTTTAAAGGCAAACTCTCACCATATAAATAGCCCTTCTGTGCCAGAGGACTATGTCATAGCTCCGTGTATTGCTGCTCAGCCTGAGCACCGCGATGGCTATGCCCGCAGCCAGCCCAAGTCAAATTCTAAGACTTCAGAGGAGCGGCACGGGTCACTGTGTGGACTCTCACCATCTGCCCTCTTTCCCTTTCTAATTCAATCTGTTTTCTGGTCCCTTACAC